GAAGAACCCATCCAGAGGACCTATACAATTTTTTTTCCTTTTGATTTTTTACCTGGATTACTGAGATGCATCAGGACAGTCATGAGTTTAGTGGATTGAAAAACAACATAAAAAATTATGTAGATGCTTCTGCCAGTATGGCTGCTTTATTAATAATAAAGCTGATTCTGATTTATTAAGCATTAAATCTAGTAATTCAAAAAGGAAAGACATTATTAACAACATTTACCATATTCTTTATTACCTTTACTTATGGGAAATTTGGATAGAGCTTCATCAGAGCTAAACAACAAAAGAAATCTGAAGCTCCTATGTTTAATAGTTTTTGAGCTATAACCATTTTTGTTTATCCAGATACCACTTTTTCAGATAAATTGGGGGTCCTGGGTAGGGGGGCACTGATTGGTGGGCCTGATGGATAGAGCTTCATCATAACTCATTTTTGAGCTGAATTGGGCTGATAAAACTTCCAAAGGCCTGAAAGCAATGTCTATAAACTTAGGGCTTCAACAGTTAATTTAAGTACCAACAAGATTTAAGATATTTAGACATAATCTTAACTCTTTTTTGCATTTCCAGGTTGCTATTTTAGGCACTAATTCCAACATTTGAGAGGTAAAAATTCTGCACGAGTTTGTCCTTTTTCTGATTAGAAGTTGATACCTCACGAACCAAAAATAAACATTTTAAAATGCGCAACAATCCAAACTTAAAACTTCTATAACCTGTTCCATTGTTTACTTTTCTTTTGTTTGCCCCCAAACAATCGTACAAACCATTGCGCGCCGCTTCCGGTAGGTGGCGCTAAACGGTATCCATGAAATAGTCCATAGGAGACGTACCTATTTGCTTAGTTAAATCCAGGTGTGTTGTTTGTTGGCCAGGCAGTGTATAAGTCAGTATCAGCACACCTCTTCATTTCACCCTATCATGTTTGGGGGCTTTCTGACCAACAAAACAAGCTTCAAGGTCAGATTCTGCCAACATGGAAACCACAGTCAAATATTGACTCTAACAAATGGCTCTGGCCTACTTTCAATTGTCTGAAAGCAGAAATGAATCCCACCTGACCCACAAACTGCCATACGAGTGTCCCTGTTCAGAGCCAGTGCTCTGAAAAAGATCAAACTAATAATAATAATTTATAGGACACTTTATATTTGTAAATCTAAAATAATAAATTAAGAAAAAATTTGGAAATCAGTTAGGGCCATAAAAAGACAAAACAAAAATATTGTTTTTAATCCTTTTTCTGAAGGATTCTACAGTCTGTGGTTCCCTTAAATGGTCTGGAAGTAAATGCCACAGACGAGGGGCAACAGAGCAAAAGTCTTGGTCCCCCATGGTGCTGAGCTTCGTTCTGGCAATCTGAAAATGGGACGAGTTGTTGGAACTGAGAGAATGAGTTTTGTTGTGTGGGAGAAGCAGCTCTTTAAGGTAGAGGGACATTTCCATGTACACACTAGTGTGTCAGAAGATGATCTTGTAAGTTTATTGTAAGTAACCTTAGGGCAGAAGATAGAGCAGAACTTAYTGTGCTGATTTTGGTGCAAAAACAGTTGAAAAATGTATTGCACTGGTCAGATGTTGCATGTTGAGTTTGTAATGGAGAGAGCTGCCCAATGAGGTGCAGAAACATGGAGAAAAGATGACTGAATTTCCTGGGCTGAACTGAACAATGCTGGAAAAGTAGAATGATGGTGCCTCTTTTAAGGACGTGGAAAAGTTTTGTTTGTGGACAGTTAAACCAGAGGTTTTGCACTTCCATTCTAAGAAATGTCTGCTGCTTTAATTTTCCATAATGCAGGTTTATACCAGGGGGCAGAGCAGGAAATGGTAAATGGATGGAACTTTGTATAGTGTTTTATCAAGTCCCATAAGACTTGGACTTTGTCAGACTTTACGTGGTAAAATACGAAGTGTTGAATTAAAATTCTGTATCGACTAAATGTTATAATTGATGTAATTGATTATGTCGACTAATGGTTGCAGCACTACTAAACACACGCCAAAGAGTAATGTTCCTTCAAATGATCTTATACTTGCAGTACCCATACTCTACAGCAGTGATTCCCAACCAGGGGTACGTGTACCCCCTGGAGGTACGTGAGCATATTACAGGGGGTACATGGAAAAATTTCCCGTGTGTAAAAATAAAAATGAAAATAGGACTGAGACACGTAGGGCTCTATGATTTCCACATTGCGGAAAATGCAAATGGAATCACAAAATTAACATAAAATGGAATCTAGTATAAAACGTGGAATCTCACGGAATTTGCTAATTTGGGTGAGTTTCTGACGTATTTTGGACAATACAATGTATTTTGGACGCTACGGTTTTCTGCACCTGCCGTTACCTGGTTTATTTATTTAATTATTCACTTTCAAGGCAACATATTTATCTTTGTTTAATTTGAGTTGAAAAGAATAAAATGCCTGAGAATGAAAAGTTCCAGGGCAGTGGTTCCCAACCTTTTTAGACTTGTGTATCCCTTGAACCATTTTGTCATACCACTAGTACCCCTTCAGTCAAACATAATGATGATTCTCCAAAAATATAATGTACTACAACTGATTATTAAATGAAAATTATGTATTTAACCCCCTAGAACATTCTCAGGCATTTTATTCTTTTCAAATCAAATTAAACAAAGATAAATATGTTGCCTTGAAAGTGAATAATAAACCGTAGCATCCAAAATACATTGTATTGTCCAAAATACGTCAGAAACTCACCAAAATGAGCAAATTCCGTGAGATTCCACGTTTTATACTGGATCCCATTTTATGTTAGTTTCGTGATTCCATTTGCATTTTCCGCAATGTGGAAATCATAGAGCCCTACGTGTCTCAGTCCTATTTTTATTTATTTTTTACACACCTGGGAAATTTTTCCATGTACCCCCTGCAATACGCTCGCGTACCTCCAGGGGGACATGTACCCCTGGTTGGGAATCACTGTTCTAGGGGGTTAAATAAATAATTTTCATTTAATAATCAGTTGTAGTACATCATAGTTTTAGAGAATCATCATTACATTTGACTGGGGGGCACTAGTGGTATGACAAAATGGTTCAGGGGGTACACAAGTCTAAAAAGGTTGGGAACCACTGCTCTACAGGATCAGAAACCAAGTAGTGGAATCACTGAGGAGAACGTGTCCAACCACCATTTATGATGTTTCTATAATCAGATAACACAATGAGGAGGCACAGAGACATAAAGCCAGGCCCAAAGGAAGTTACTCACCCACAACCATAAGAGTGAACTCAAAACCTCTCTTCACAGATTTCCTATAAACTTGGTTGGGGAGGTTGGCAAAGCCCACATAGCCTTCCAGGTTTTTCTGTTGCTGTGGATCAAAAATAAACATAGATGTAACTTTTCTCCAAAAATAGAACACACTTTGATTGAATGTGTCATTTTCTCATCCAGATTTCAGAATAGAGATGAGCAATCAGCTCAAAAACCAACATATGACCACCTGTCCACACAGATGTTTTTAAACCTGTTTTTATTAACAGAGGGGCAGACTGGACCACTCTACAGACAGGCTGTAGGTGGTCCAAAATAATACATGTTGGTTTTAAAACAAAAAGTGACTCAAAGATTTTGACGAAACAAACCAGATCTGTACTAATATTAGGAGCTCATCTCTGTCTTTGTAGTCTGATCCTGGAGGCATCAGGTCCAGGAGAGAAACCCAGACCTCCCTCCACCCAGCGACACTTTCCAGCTCGTCCTGGAGGAYCCTGAGGTGTTCCCAGACCAGAGAGGACGCATAACCCCTCCAGAAAGTCCTGGGTCTTCCCCAGGGCCTCCTACCAGCAGAACGTGCCCAGAACACCTCTAAAGGGTCCAGGAGGCATCCTGATCAGATGAACCACCTCAACTGACTCCTTTCGATGTGGAGGAGCAGCAACTCTACTCTGAACTCCTCACTCTATCTCTAAGGYTGAGCCCGGCCACCCTACAGAGGAAGMTCTTTTGGACTGCTTGTAACCAGGATCTGGTTCTTTCAGTCATGAACACAGGTGATGGTTGGAACAAAGACAGACCARTAAATCCAGAGCTTCAAGGAACACTGTAAATCTTTGTCAGGTCCAAAGACTCAGGTAGACCAGTGAGTCTACGTGATAATTTTTGATGAATTTTAAGATTTGTTAAACAAATACATTGACATTTTTAACAATTACAAGTGAAACTAGAACTGCAAAGCAGTTATGACCGGGGTCCAAGCCCTTTTATGCATGTCAGCCTTTGTCATGTTGTTTGT